GTAATTGACTAGTTAGGACATTTCTGATTCTTGTGTTTGTAAGCGATACTACAGCAGCTATCTTTGTGCCCACCTGGTTTTGCACACCTCCACGACCATTTCCCTAGGAGTAAATCCTAGTGGTAAAATCTTGGGATCAAATCCTCTCTCTCTGTATTGCCAGATTGGCTTGAAGAAAAGTTGTGCTATCTCTGAGTTGGTTTTAAGGAGCCTTAGTTTTTGTCCTTTTTCATGGAATCTTCTGAAGGCAAAGGGAATGTCATTATCTCCCGATCTAAGGTCGAGGCCACTGGGCAAGACAGGTCCTGCCTGCCGATTCTGCGGAAACCTCTTTCCCTTCCAACAGCAGGTGCGTCTTGCAGCGCTGCTGGCCAGGTGCGCACACAATGGGTAGGAACCCTCTAAGCAGTGATGTGCTAAGGTTGCAAATCAATTCAGCTCTGCTGAGGAGTTTATCATTCTGGAAACTAATAACAGTCTAGCCCCAGCTAGACTCTGTCCCGATGACATATTCCTCTTTGGGCTTTCAAAACGTGCCTTGGGCACAGCCATCTGGCCTCTCGCTGAACCCCATCCCTGCCTGGTCAGGTCTGTGTGCCTTTGCTGCCTGTGGTCTCTGCCCCTTCCCCCGTCTCCTTCCCCAGGCTCTGGAGCTACTCCCCACCCCCACCTTCTAGGAAGCCCCTCTGGGAGCCCCTCCCAGTCCAGAACTGCTGTCACTATGACTCTCAACCTCTCCTCTGGCATTTCATCACGTCACCACTCTGTGCCCTTTATATACCCTTTGTGCCTGAATGATGTTGAAATCTCCAATTGAGGGTTCTCCCCCCCTCTGGGATCTGGTCCATTGTAGGATATAGTCAGGACCTTTGGGAGAGTCAGACCTGGGATTGAGCCTCGACTGCTACCTACTAGCTCTGTGCCTTTGGACAACGTATTGAATCCTTCTGAGCCTCAGTTTTCCCATCAGTAAAATGGGATTATAATAGTACCGACCTGAAAGAGTTGCTCTGAGAGTCCAGCATGTGTCAGGTGCTCCACATTGTGCCTGGCACAGACAGCTATTAAAGCAACAACAGAAAAATCGGAGTAGTTATCCTCATTTTGTTTGTCTCTACCTCCGCAGAGGCTGAACCAGTAACTTGCACAATATTAAAGGAACCATTTGTGGACAGAATGAAGAGATATCATGTAAACATTCCCTGTGTGTGTATTTAGCCTCACTAAGCAGTACCCAGGGGGACAGGACCAGTCATCTTGGGGTCTAGGGGTGAAACAAGTGAAAAGCAATCTCTGTCATTAGCTGAAACCTCGCTGAGACCGCGGTCCAGTGCCCTCTTGAGAGCAAAAGTGTGTTATCTGATTTAATCCCCACACCAACCTACCAGGAAGATATTTTTATGTCTCTCTGATAACAAAACCGACCATTTTTTGACCATCTACTGTGTGCTAGACCTTGGCAAGACACTTTAAAAATGGGATTTTAGTGGGGAGGGTATATCTCAGTGGTAAAGCATGTGCTTAGCAGGTGTGAGGTCCTGGGTTCAATCCCCAGCACCTCAATTAAAAAAGGAAAAAGAGGTATCAGCGCTCAGCATCCTTATAGCATGTCCTGACCCCCCCAAAAAAGTGGAAGTGAGATTTTATTTAAACCCTCACTCTATCTTAATGAGAGGATAAATATTATTGAAGATCAAACAGGGTCAGAAAGTTATTCAGTAAACTGCCCAAGGGCTGACAGGCAATAAAAGAGGATGAGCCAGGATTTGGGAGAAAAAAAACAAAAATCGAACACTTCCCCCCTGCCCGCCCCCCAAAAGAAACTAGACACTTCTGTTCTATCACCTGACATGCTGACATTCTCAGGGAACAGAGCTCTGCATTCAGTCGGCGCTTAATAGGGAGGGGACTGCAGTCACGTGAGGGATCCTGGACCTGCTAACAGATGCTTCAGAGGGAGCAGTTTCTATTTCCAGTGCCCACCACGATCTCGAGGGAGGTGACTCCGCACCCCCTCCTCTGCCGTCACGATGTTCTTGTTTTTCTCCGGGCCCTGTGACTCAGCACGCAGCTCCAGATGGCTTCCTGCATTTCCAGCCTCGCTGGCTGGGGTGCCAGGGCCCTGGTACAGTAAACTAAAACCAAAAACACGTTGCATCTAAGAGTGGAAACCCTCTCTCCGCTATCCTCTAATACAAAGACCACGGGGCCCACGACTCGTGGTGGTTGGTCCCTCCAAGGCCTTCCCTTACACTTTCCATCCCTTCTAGTCCCAAGCTCCCCACACTCCACCCCAGTGCATCCTTGATGCCTTGAAGATGACACCCAGGGGGGAATCCAAGGACCAGTAAGGGAGAGGGACTGCCTGGTTCTGTCACTGCCTTGGTCAGTGGCCTTAAACAGTTAACTTTCTGATCCTCAGTGACCAGAAGGGGACACGGATATTGCCTGCCTCTGAGGACTGTAGGGTTAGGGTTTCCAGTAAGAGACGGGACGTTCAGTGGTATGGACCGAATGCTTGTGTCCCACCCAAATTCATGTGCTGAATCCTAAGGCCCCATGTAAGGGGATTAGGAGGTGGGGCCTTTGGGAGGTGCTCAGGTCATGAGGTCAGAGGTTTCATGAATGGGTCCTGATAAAAGAGACCCCAGGCAGCTCCACCATCCTTTCTGGCATGTGAGGACGCAGGAGCAGCCAGCCGCCTGTGAACCAGAGAAAGGGTTCTCACCAGACACTGAACCTGCCAGTGCCTTGATCTCCGACTTCTAGGCTGCAGGACTACGAGAAGTAAATGTTTTGTTTTTCAGCCGCCTGTTCTCTGGTATTCTGCCACCGCAGCCCTCATGCGCTAAGACACCCAATTAGGTTTGCATTTCAAACAATGATTTTTTTTTCTTTAGTATAAGTATATTTCAAATATCACATTCAAATTTAACTGGGTGACCTGTAATTTGTTCGCTAAATTTAGCAAGTCTATGTGGAGTTACTAAATGTGAAAACAAATGTGGAAGTGCTCTGTCGTGTATCAGGAGCTGTACACTGAATAACGCCTTTACCATGAGACATGAGCCAACAAACTGCCCCTGGGCCACCAGCTTGCTCTGGGACGTAGCACAGGTGGTCCTACCATCGGGGGGATGGAGCATTTGTACTGCCTCAGCCTGTGGCTTGGGAAAGCTGGGTCTTTGTTTGTCACCTGACTGATCTTTGGACATTTCACCTCCGGGGCTTCAAGACTCCCATCTTGAATTCTCCCAAATACTGGAATGAGAAACATGGAGACAACAGGTACCCACTGCTGACGGACTGGGATACGTCTGGGTCAGATCTCCTTTTGACTCCATGGTTGAAGAAGAAAAAGCCAGAATGACTTATAAGTGAGATATGCCGTGAAGGATGGATTTAGCTCCAAGAGCACCGCTTAACAGAAAAACAAAAGGAAGCAGCACACATACTATGTAGAGGCCGCTTATTTACTTAGGACTTCGGATTATCTCTACCAGAATTCCGAGAAGAGGGGTTTTTGTCCGCTTTGTCCCCCTGTGCTTAGAGCAGTGCCTGGCGCAGGCAGGGTGGAATATTCGATTACCTAAAACCGGTTGAGCTAGCTGTATTAAAGACAAATAAAGGTCGTAATCTACAGGAAAGGAACTTTTCTGAGGCTAGTCAACCTCCCTTCCTTGCTAAGGGGATGATGTTCATAGTCCCAAGTTTCTTAGAGCAACTTCTACCACCTCTCAACAGAATCTCCCCCAGTCAGTGACCAACTCATGTGTCTGGTGACCAGGGCCCAAGGGCTAACCTGCTTACTCTGCATTCCCCCAAATACTGGAAAATCTGCTGCCTTGCTTTTGTTTTTTTACAGATTTATCATTGGCAACCAAGACACTGATGAATGCCCAGGACCCAGTGGGTGTTTGGATTCCATGACTGGTTGGCTCCACCAACAACGGAAAGGCGGGCAGACTTCAGAGACCTCTTAGCATTCGGGGAGCCTGAAGAGCCATCATAGGATTTGCTGGTTACCAGCGACTCTCCAAAGGCGGGGCCAGACGTTGTTGGTGATGTGCGCGTGGCTCCCCGATCCTCGCAGCTGCGTTGGGGGTCCCCTCAGTCCGTGCGGCTCTTCGTGCAGCTCTGCGCTGCCCCGCCTTCAGCACTCTCCCCCACGCTTCTCAGAGCTGCGCCCTCATCTCTAGTCCCGTCACCCGCCCTAATCCAGGCTTCCCCATCTCTCCCAGGACTATTGCTTCCAGACTTTCCTCCCCAAATCCATCTTCCCCACCGCCCCAGAATGATCCTTTTATAAGTCAAGTGTCAGTTGCCATCAGCTTGTCCCATGCCTCCCATTCTATAAAATTCAGGAAGCCTGATTCTCTCCCTAAAATGTCTCTTGGTGGGAAAGAGTGGGGGGAGACAGGGCTCATCCTCTCATGGCCGTGTCTTGCTTTGAATACCTGCTTCCGCTGAATTAGCCCGGTAAAGAAATCGGATCCCTTGCGTACACACACCAGTGCCATCCAATCATATACCCCATCAACCCAGATGTGGCTGTGGCCCCTTTCCCTATTCTCAACCCCCTAAAACTCATACCAGTCATTTTTGTGAGCATAAGACTTTCCTGAATTTTTCCGGATGGAGAAATTTACATGTCAGCAAAGCAACAGCGTAAGTGTTTTTAATTATGCACTTTTAAAGAAATATGAAATGCATGAATTCATTCTCTTCATTAAAAAGAAAAAAAGTTGAAGCATCAGAGAGAAGGCTAATGAGGCAGAACGGGAAGATGCGGGAACCCGGTTTCTTGACTTCACCGCTGAGTTGCCATCCAGCCCTGGGCTGCTTACCTCTTGGACTTCCTGTTGCGAGATAAAAATAAACTCCCACAGCGAGGCTCCGGGAGCCAGGTTTTCTGCTCCTTGCAGCTGAACACAATCCCATCTGATGCATCCTTCATCCAGCCCTGAGCCTCCCCCTTCTCTCAGTGTCTACCCTTTCACTTGTGTTTATTTTTCTACTAGCACTTCATCACTAGTGGAAAAGAAGACTGTTCCCTAATTGCTTACCAGTTTGCTGTTTTCCCATGAGAATGGTGGCTCCCGTGAGGAAGGGGTCAGTCTTGCTCCCGCCATATCGCTAGGACCTAACACGATACTTGGCATCTAGTTGGTGCTCAATACCCATTTGTCGAATAAATGAGTGAATAAGAATTCAATCATGTCCTTCCTTGTTTAGAGGGTAAAATCCAAACTGCTCAGATGGTCTATCAAGGTGTTTCTGCCCTGGACTCTGCCTGTCCCACCTGCCTGGTCTCGAACAATACTTTTTGCTGCCACCTCTGTCTGCGTCTTTGCTGAGCCCTTGCCCAGGCTGCTGTCTTGTGTGTGCACACACATCCTCTCCGCCAGGCACTGTCCTAGGTACAGGAGAAAACTCAGTAGGCAGCCAGCCAGAGTCTCCACCCCCATGGAGTTCAGCAGAAAGGACAGACATTGGCCAAGTAGCTACGTGGTAGGTCTGTATAAAAGAGGAGATACAGAAATTATGAAAGCTCCTAGGTCTCTAGGCAGCAAACTCCTATTCATCCTGTAAGGCCCAGTTCCAGTGTCACCTCCTCTAGGAGGTACTTCTGGTGCCCTCATTGACCCTAGACAACCCAAGCCACAGAACTCAGCCCACTCTATTGTCTTTGCTGTCTCTTTGTGTGTCCCTCCAACCAGCCTAGGAATCCTATGATCTCTGCATACCCAAGGTCCCGTGCAGGGCTTGGCATGAAAGTTTTTATTAAGTTCAGCAACTGACCTGCCCCTTCCTTGATCTTCCCCCCTCCTCCCCAGCCCGCTCTCCCTTGCTCAAGTTTCTTGCAGCCTTGGTCTTTCCCTCCCACAATCAGCCCCTCCGGGCATTTCTTCCTCGTGTTCTGAATTAACCCTTCCTCTCCCAAGGGAAGCTGCAGCTTGGGGAAGTAACAACTTCCTCTTGAGCTGTCCAAGCAAAGCTTAGGCTAAAGGCTAAAAAAAGTCACCCTAACAAATAGTGACTGATTTTATACTTTTATTTCCCACTTTCCCTCTCCCCTGTAAGCTTCTCTTCCCCTCCTCCCCTTCCTTGTTTTGCATCGTCACCCAACAATACTCTCTTCCCAGAATACACCAGATTTCTCCCACCTCTGCATCTCTGCACATGCTGGT